CCTCCAGAAGGGAACTGGGGCGGGGGAGGGGGGAGCGGCGGAGGTGGAATCCAGAGAAAAAGCTGTGTCTGGGGAAAGCTGTGGCACTGATACAGAATGACCCATTTAAAAGGGTTGTGTGAGGCAGCCCTGTGCTGTCAGGATCTTCAGCGGACCGGGCCGTGTGTGTGTGTGTGTGTGTGTGTGTGTGTGTGTGTGTGCGTGTGCGCGCACGCACACGTGTGTAAGTTCACGTGCACACACACACACACTCGCACGTCCACGCAAGCTTTCCTACACCTGCTGTGTCTCTTCAGGTGCTCACGTGAAGTTGCCAAAATTCAGATGAGTAGTAAGTGTCGTTGGTGTCTGTCGGTCCATCTCTCCCCCCACCCTCCTCTCCTTCCCTCTGTCCCTCTGCCACTCGCTCACTCTCTCTCTCGATGTACAAAGGGGACTTTGGTGAAAAGAAAAGGGATGGTGTGTTGAGCCTGGCAGGTGACAGTGACAATAAATAATAAAGAAGAAATGGGAGAATTTAGGAACTCCAGACGTTGTAACAGCATTCACACATCCTCCACGTGGGTGAAGACAGTGACAGAGGAGGGAGGTGAGAACAGGAGGACCCTGGGGGGGAAGCGATGCCGTTTCTAGACACTGCTCATTTCTTCTTTCCTTCCTTCATTCAAAATTTAGTTGGGGGCGGGAGGAGGGTGCCCGGCTGGCTCTGTGGGTGGAGCGTGCGACTCTGGATCTCGGGGTTGTAAGTTAGAGCCCCACGTTGGGGGTACAGATTACTTAAAAAAACAAAACAAAACAAAACAAAACAAAACAAAACTGGGGCATCTGGGTGGCTCAGTCGGTTAAGCATCCAACTCTTGATTTCGGCCCAGGTCATGATCTCGGGGTCATGGGACCGAGCCCCGCATGGGGCTCCGTGCTGAGCGTGCAGCATGCTTGGGATTTTCTCTCCCTCTCTTTCTGCCCCTCCTCCGCTTGCACACGTGTGCGCTCTCTCAAAATCAACATTTTCTTTAATCTTAAAAAAAATTTACTTGGCACCACCTGCCATTTGGCCAGCCCTGGGCCAGGCACCGGGGTGAGTAGAACCTGGGCCTTCCCTGGTGGGCATCGGGCCTGCAGGGCCGCTCCCGGTGACTCCTCCTCCCGACTGCCTCTAAAACAAGGACTTTGGCCTCCTCTGGGACTATCAGACGGATTCCTATTTCTCTCCTTAAAGACTCTGTCTCCATTCAGGGTCCAACCCTGGCCTCTTCTTGGAGGAGGAGGGAGTTAACCTTTATACTGAATAGGTTATTTTCACTTTATCTCATTTATCAATATCATCTCGTTTCACAGATGTAGAAACTGAGGCACAGCGCAGTTAAGTAATGTGCCCAAGGTGCCTCTTGGGGAAGTAAGTAGCCAGGACTCAGATCTGGGCTGACTGGCTCCGGAGCCTGGGCTCTCAGCTAGTATGCTAGAATCCCCTTCAGGAGGGGCATGTCGGCAGAGCGTGTGACTCTTGGTCTCGGGGTTGTGAGTTCGAGCCCCATTTTGGGCGCAGAGATGACTTAGAAAACAAAATCTTAAGAAAAGAATGCCCTTCAGGAAAAGGCAAAAAAGAGCCTGGGAAAGGAATGGCCATGTCCCGACACTGTGAGAGGCTGGTGTAAGGGAATGACACCTGAGTGGCTGTCAGGAAGTATGGGTTCAAGTCCCGACCTGCCACAATCTTCACTGTGACTGTGGACAAATCATTTAACCTCTTAGAGGCTCCTTTCCTTTTTGAGAATTTTGCTGAGATCCCTTTACTTTTAATCATCTCTGACAAGCAACGAATTACAATTACGATGCATGCTAGTGGTCAAGGATTGTAATACTCTTTAAAGTTGTCTTTTTTTAATTTTTATTATTTTTCTTAAAGTTTATATTTTATTTTTTAAAATTCCTTTCGCGTTTTTATTTTGAGGGAGAGACAGACAGAGTACGAGCAGGGGAGGGACAGAGAGAGAGGGAGACACAGAATCTGAAGAAGGCTCCAGGCTCTGAGCTGTCAGCACAGAGCCCTATGTGGGGCTTGAACTCATGAACTGTGAGATCATGATCTGAGCCGAAGTTGGACACTTAACCGACTGGGCCACCCAGGCGCCCCTTAAAGTTTATTTATTTTGAGAGAGAGAGTGAGAGAGCAGGAGAACGGTAGAGACAGAGGGAGAGAGAGAATCCCAAGCAGGTTCTGCACTGTCAGCATGGAGCCCAATGTGGGGCTGGACCTCACGAACCGAGAGATCATGACCTGAGAGGAAATCAAGAGTCGGTGGCTCAACTGATTGAGCCACCCAGGCGCCCTTTTTCAATTATTTTTTTAATATCTGTTTGTTTTGAGAGAGAGTGAGAGAGTGGGGGAGGGGCGGAGAGAGAGAATCCCAAGCAGGCCCTGCACTGTCAACTGCCCCAATGCGGGGCTCGAACTCATGAACTGTGAGATCATGCCCTGAGCCAAAATCAAGAGTTGGGTGCTTAACAGACTGAGCCACCCAGGGATACCTAACATTGTCTTTCTTTTTTAAAATTAAGCTCTAGTCCCAACGTGGGGCTTGAATTCATGACTCCAAGGTTAAGAGTCGCAGGCTCTACTGACGCAGCCAGTCAGGCACCCCTACTGTAACACTTTTTAAAGCCGAATAGGAAAGGGGTAGCATAGGGAAATGGGTAATTTCATAGGCAGGAAGGAAAAAATATGAATCGTATATGGAAGAGCCCCATTTGAAATCAGCCTGCAAAAAGTGAGGAGTGTCAGTGAGCCCTCATACCAGCCAGGTCTGCCTGGCATTTCTGGGCCTGAGCCGGGGAGTCGAAGAAGATCCCCGGCGAGGACTGACATGCAGAGGGGAGGCCGAGATAGGCACGTTGGGACAGCAGGTGCTCACCATCACGATGTTGGCCAGATGGGCAGAGACGAGTGCATACACCCCTCCAGAGGAGCCCACAACTGGTGCAGTCATGTCAGCCACAGACACCGCCAAGGACCCTGGTACAGAGAGACATCAGGAATTCAAGGGTGCTGGCGCGCACTCCCCGCCCCTGCCCCAGGCCCTCACACGCAGCAGCCTGGGGGGGGGGGGTAAGACCCCGGAGCAAAGGCTCCATCTCTTCCTTTCATCCGGTGTCACCTTGGGGCCTCCTAAAAGCTTAAATTCATGGCTTGAAAGAGCCATCTGATTCGAACTTCTTTTACAGAAGACCCAGTGGAGGGAAGGGACCACCTGCCTGTCACTGCAACTCTGCCCCGCTTGGCGTTACCTCGGGGTTCTGAGCGATAACAAACAGTAGCAGTACTTACTGCAGGGTCAGCTGCCACGTGTGGGCCACCGTGTATGGCGCGCTGGCCACGCGTTTTACTTACATCAGCCCGTTTAACCCCCGAGGCCGCCCTTTGAGGAGGGTGACAGCAGCCTCAATGCAGAGGTGAGGAGGCTGAGCCCAGAGTCACTGGTAGGAAGGGCTGCAACCAGGACTTGAGTCCAGCTTTGCCGACACAAAGTCCACGCTCGAGGCCTCAACGGCAGCCACTCCCCGAACTGGTACAGACAGAGATCAGCTTCCTCCCTCCACCATCGCTCCAGAGCATTTCGTTGCTCAACGGCATCTAGAAACCCGCTTGGCTTCACCTCCGACCTCCCTCCCTCCGGCCGAGTGACAAAAGGCCAACAGAATCTCCAGAGTGGGGGTTCCGCTGGAGGAAAAATGTCCTTGAAAAGTCCCAGGGAAGAGAGAGAGATGATGTCATACCCTCTGGGGGGAGAAGGGGGTAGACTTTTGGTCTGGGGGATGACAAACTTTTGTGCTGGAAGGGAAGCTGGGCAGAGAGGAGAAGGGAAATGTATTGTTCTGGTCTCATTTAAGTGTGATCAATGCTTTGGCTTCCAGGGAAGGACACGAGAGACTAAAAATAACCAGGAGGTAGAGCCCAGGGCTCAGAGGCTGAGGTGGCTGGCCTGGGTGAGTGCGCAGAAACCACCACTGGAAAATGCCCGCAGGCTCAGGAGCCAATTAGCCGCTGCCTGGGTGGAGATGGGCAGAAGTGCCAAACTGCAGGCTCCACACAAGTGTAGGGTCCGCTACTTAGGAGGAGGCTGGGTTCAACCCGGGAACCCGGGCGCCCGACACACCTGGGCATCGGGAGCCCCCAGAACATCATCCGCCTTCTCCCCTGCCTCGCTGCCCCCTCAGACCTCTCTCAAGGCTCCTCAGCTCGCTGGGAGATCCCTATGGCAAATTCTTGGTCTCAAGGGGGATGTGATCTCCCAGGAAAAAGCACTGTCATGAACCGAGAACTCCCAAGTCCTTCTCCCCTCCCAGGGTGACTATAAATCTTTCTTCTCCCCTTTCATGCCTTCCCTCTGGCTTTAATTAGGTATTGATCTATTGTCAGATCATTTTCTATTTTTTTTTTTTTTTTTTTTTTTTTTTTTTTTTTTTTTTTACTGCCTAGCCAAGGGGTCAGCCATATATAACAGAAAAAAAAAAAAAAATCCCAGGGTGGCAAACAGACAGGCAGTGGGATCTGCATGACAAAGGATTCCCACCCTCTCCGGGCAGGGCCCGCAAGGAAGGCTGCATTGCGGGGCTGTGGAGGGCTGGCCGCTGGAGACGAGCCGCTCATTAATTACCGCGTGGACAGAGGAAGCCCCAGCCTCCCTGGGCTGGCCTCTTTCCTCTTGTAGGCCCAGCTTCTGCTCTGTCAGCCTCCTGGGTGCGGGGGGGATCCGCAGCGGTAGGGAGGCGGTGGGGAAGCCCCCAGGGTCCAGCCTCCCCACCCTGACCTTTCTCTCACCCTACCCATGGAGAGGGGTCCACGACCCCGGGGTCAAGGGTCAATTTGGGATTGTGGCAGGAGTCTGGAATGGGGGCGTGGCTGGCTAGTTGTGTGACCTTGGGCACAGCCCCTGCATTCTCTGGGCTTCAGCTTTCTGTGACATAAAGAGGTCTAAGGCTTACCAACTTCTGCGCAGTGAAACCCTCTTTTCAAAGGAAACCTTACCCACACCCCTACCCCCATGGAGCAGAGCGCAGACAGCCTATGGTTGAGTGGGGGTGGGGCCTGGGGAGTAAAATTTGGCAGCCACTGGAGGGGACCTCAAGAGTTCCTTCCAGATCAGAGAGATTCAACAGCCCGAGATTCTGGGATCCAGGATCCGAGGTTTGGATCCTGGTTCTAGAATCCCGAAAGTAACAATCTGGACTCACCGGTCCTCCGTGTATGGCAGAAAGATTTCCTCAAGTGGCTGCAGGTTAGCCCTGGACTAGAGGGACTGGAAACAAGGGCATATGCATACATATCAATATAGTAATAAAGGTCATCCCGGGGCAGGAAGCCTGGGCCACGCAGGATTCCGGACAAGCTGTGTGGAACCTAGCCTCATGGATGACAGTTCCATAAGGCCAGTATGAATGCCCCAGACGTCATGGGGCAGAGGATGGGGATAGAATGGCAAGATGGAGTGAAACGCACCTCTGCACAGCCCAAGGGACTAGTTCTGGTTGGACTATGAACTCTCTTGAAAAAGTTCTGGGCTGGGGTGCCTGGGTGGCGCAGTCGGTTAAGCGTCCGACTTCAGCCAGGTCACGATCTTGCGGTCCGTGAGTTCGAGCCCCGCGTCGGGCTCTGGGCAGATGGCTCGGAGCCTGGAGCCTGTTTCCGAATCTGTGTCACCCTCTCTCTCTGCCCCTCCCCCGTTCATGCTCTGTCTCTCTCTGTCCCAAAAATAAATAAAAAAAAACGTTGAAAAAAAAAAATTTTTTTTAAAAAAAAGAAAAAGTTCTGGGCCCACACCAGCACGCAGATAAATTGGTGACTTTATCATAAGGCACAGCTGCAATAATGTTAGCCTGAAATAATTTAAAGCAGGTGTTTTCCAACGTCTCCCTTGGCCATTAAAACAAAAAAATCCAAATAGAAATCAGCAGAACATCTACCTTTGAGCAATATAACTTTATTTATGTATGTATTCTCTCCTTTGTTCTACAAATATTTGCTGCTTAACATATGCCAAACCCTGAGTTAAGTCTCTGGGGATGCACACGTGGTGCATCATCTATATAATCTATAAGAAAAGTTGGGTGGAGCCCTTGAAATACTGGTTTTTAAAGTACCTAAATTTTAGCCACGTGATAGTTAGCTAGAAGCAAGAGACACGTCAAGCATTGGTTAGAAGCATGGGGCTCCCACTCACTTCTAGTACTTCCCTCGTCCTTCTAAGAAAATTGAGCTAGTCGTTTCACCTCTCTGAACCACCTGTGACATGGGGGTGACGGTACCCACCTCATAATATTTGCCAATACAGGAAAAACGTATGTGCATCCTCTATCACAGGCCCAGAGTATCGGATGTGCTCAGCAGAGGTTGGCTGTCATTGCTACAAAATGTGATGGCCTTGCCTTTGCAATATTTTCATTGGGCAGGAGCTAAATGGTGGGGTCTGATGTCTATTAAGACCTCTCTGGGTGGGGCGCCTGGGTGGCTCAGTTGGTTCGTGTCCAACCCACCTTCCGCTCGAGTCATGATATCACAATTCGTGAGTTCGAGCCCCACATCGGGCTCTGAGATAACGGCACAGAGCCTGCTTGGAATTCTCTATCTTCCTCTCTCTCTGCCCCTACCCTGCTTGCTCTCTCTCTCTCTCTCTCTCTCTCAAAAATAAAAACATTAGAGAAAAAAAAAGACTTCCCTTGGTTTCTGACAATAAATAACATGCACAAGGACAAGGCCTGCCTTCTGGTTCTCATAACATACGGTAGTGGTTTGAAGCACAGCCTTTGGGGTCAGGCAGCCTGGGCCTGGGGCCAGTTCCGCCACTTACAGCTAGGTCTTCTCAGGCAAGTCCCTGAGACACCCTAAGGCTGTTTCTGCACCTGCAGCAAGGGGAGAGTAATAGTACTTGCCTCGAGGGGTTGCTTGCCTGCACATGGCCAACACTTGCTAACTACTGGCTATCCGGTCAGGGTCTGGCTGGCTGTGAATGGAGCCGCCTCTCTGAGCTGGGATGCACACAGAGTAGACAGGGAAGGAAGGGGTGCAGGCAGATCAATCAACTCAGTCCAGAAGATCAATGACATGATTTATGGTGACCAGAGTGACCTCTGGTCTGAATCAATGCCTCAGACAGAATAGTACATGTTGTTTGCTTTATGATACAGCCCCACCCCCTCCTGTCTGGTTGGCAAGGATCCCTTCTGTCTGTGCACCATCCCACTCTGCACCGGGGTCACTGGCGAGTGACACCTGCACTGCCTTCCTGCTGGGTGTCATCAGTTTGGGTGAGGCCTGAGTCATCTTGAATCTTACTTCCGTCTTCTGGGTTATTGGCACTCCCATCTAATTGACTACTAACTGCAAGTGTTATGAGTGTCTTTCCTGTTCCTCGCCATTAACCATCTGGGTCTCTGGGTATGTAGGTATAGAAAATGTGGCTATGAATCTCCAGATGTCAAGACTCGGGGACTGCGTGGGTGGCTAAGTCTGGCACACAGAGATCCTCATTAGACCTTTGCTAAAGGATGTGGAAGGTGCTGGATGCTGGGGAAGCTCATGTGGGTGCTGTCCGAGGTGGCCAAGTTTTCACCCGCAGCACACAGAGAAATGAAGAAGGTGAGGGGCCAATCTCCCAAGCTGAGGGTTCCTGAACTAGCAGACCAGCCTCGAATGGGTGAGTGGGGTGGGACTCTTCCCTCTTGGATTCCTGAAGCCACCTCAGTTACTCCCAGGGTCCCTGTCTGCTCATTGTTTACAAGGTCAATGCCGCCCTGCTCTCCTGATGACAACTTTAATACCACTCAGAAAGGATTAAGATCTTACTTAAACATACACACAAAGCTCCCTTGGGCACAGCTGTCAAGGTGAAGAGCTGAGGTGGCAAACCTTGTAAAAAAAAAAAAAAAGAAGAAGAAGAAGAAGAAGAGGAGAAGGAGAAGCAGCAGCCAGCTATAAGGTTGGAAACATCACGAGGGAGATCCCTCTGTTCAGAAACCCGGTTGGTGCAGACTCTTTCTGCAGAAATGCAGTCTGCTCTCCCCGGCTCACCCCAGCCAGCCTAACCTCCCTCCCGGGAAGGAGAGGGGGCGTCCCACTGGCCACAGGGCCGGCCTTCCTCAAGGTCATGGTCCTTCGCCGTGTGAGCAGAGTCAGCTAGGGCCCCAGTCTCCTCCAGCTGGCGTGAGTGCTCACTACCTCTTAGGCCAGACCTGCTTCCTGTCAGCAGGGGGTCAATCAAGGGGACAGGTGTAGGCCTGGTGGGCGGGCCTGGTTCCACCCACACCTTGGATGTCCCTACAAGGATCTTACTGTGCCTGTGCAGTTTATATGGCACTGTTACTCCATTTGTCACCTCACTCCACCCTCCTAACACCCTACAGGCAGATCTTATTAGTTCCCTCCTAAAACCTAAGGGGGCCAAGAGAGGTTAAGGAATTTCCCCAAACTCACACAGCTACAACATGGCAGTATAAAGACAGAAACCCCGGTCAATCTGCCTGTTCCACATCCTGTGGTCTCCTCCCCTTGCCATCACATGCCTCCCTCTTTGGATGGCAGTCCCCTTTCCAGAGGAGGTTTGCTAACCCTGGTAGTTACGAGCCTTGGCAATGGGAGTCCTGCATTGCTGGAGGCCGGGGGCTTGCCCAATCCCATGGGGTCTCCCAGCCACCCTGGGGAAGTTTACCCCTGTGGACTTGCAGCCCACCTGCCTACCTGCCACAACGCCAGCCACGTAGACAAGCCCAATGCGGGTTGCTCCGTGCACCATCTCCAAGGGCACCCCTACCAGGAGCTGCAGCACCACGTTGAGTCCCAGGTGTTCTATCCTGTACAGAAAGACCACTCCATTCATACACTCATTCATTCATTCACTCACTCATTCATTCATTCAACAAACACTGTATGCCAAGATGCTGGGGATCCAGCAGGGAATAAGACCCTATACCTACCTTGAGGAGCTCATGGTCTGGGTCTAAGGGACAGGAATTACAATGCAGACAGGTCGTCTTGGAAACAGCATACCTTGCCTGCCACCTGGGACAGGAAGAACAGTGCAGGGCCTGGGCAGTGCTTGGCAATGCCTGCACCTGCCATAGTGAGAAGGCGCCTCACCACGGTTAAGATCCAGCAAATCCATCCATTCACATATGAGAAGCCAAGACTCAGAGAGGGACACTGACTGGCTTACAGTCACACAGCCCGGGTTCCTGATGGGCAGAATCTGCTCCATTCACCAGGCCACGAAGTTACTCTGGCTCACTACACATTTGTAAGAGCTACTGATGTTCAAAGAGAAAGATGTTTTCAAGACAAGTGCAAGCATTAGAGGGGCGCGTGGGTGGTTCAGTCAGTTAAGCATCCAGCTCTTGATTTCGGCTCAGGTCATGATCTCACGGTTCATGAGATGGAACCCGAGTCGGGCTCTGTGCTGACAGCATGGGGCCTGCTTGGGATTCTCTCTCTCTCCCTCTCTCTGCCCCTCCCTTGCTCACTCTCTCGCTCTCTCAAAAATAAATAAATAAACGTTAAAAAAAAACAAAACAATTGTAAGTATTAGAGATATCTCTTAGAACTTAATAATTCAAAGTTATCCCTTAAAATATCATGAAATCCCTTAAAATCCCATTCTACCCAACACTCTGGGTTGGGTTTTCTTACCCTATGAATACTTTCCTTTTTATACTATCATACATCTACGACCAGATCTTGTTGCTAACTGGTGTCTAGCCGAATGCCTATGTTATTGGAAAAAGTTGTCATGTTACTATTGCTATATCAGTGTGTGCTTTCAAGTTTACAAAGCACTTTAACATCCACTGTCTCAAGTAAATTGAGCCTACAGTACCTGCACAGCTTCCTGGAGATGTTTAAGTTATAGGGTAACAGAGCACATCATGAGGGGTCTGGACCTTGGCCTGGGTCACAGCCTTGGTCCTGGTCTGCAAGGCCCTGCCTGGAGACTAATCACTGTGCCATGTTGGGCACACGTGAGCACCTGTCTACCCAGGAGGGCACCTGCAAGGTAGCTCAGACAGATGGGGCTCTGTTCTACACTCCTATCATGCCTGGAATCTTCCAGCCCTGACTGCCAGCCGAAGGGTTAGAAGTGTCAGACAAACGCACTGGAAAAGAGCCGGATGCGAGCATCAGATTCATAGAGAGACTGCAGAGGTTTTCCGGTCCTGTCTTCTTGGTTTACAGGCAAGAGCCTGAGACTAGAAGACACCCGGTGAGGGGAACTCAGGGCTCCTGCGTCCCAATCTGAACTCCTTCCTCTCTACCGCACTGGATTCACTGGTCCAGAGTGGGCCCCTGGATCATAGGTCACCTTGCTGGGCTCATCCCAGATGTTGGCCAGCTGTCCCTATCTCCTGTCGGCTGCAGCGCCAGCCAAGAGCCCCTCCCTCCCTCAAAATCACAGAGCTAGAAACTCCTCCAAGGGCTCTCCCAGGCAGGCACTGCCCCATTAGAAGCAATAGCCAGAGAAAGGCCTGAGGCCACCACTATGGGCCTCAGCTAAGAGCCTCTGTGCACTGTCCACTTTGGCCTCCAGGCTTTTAGCTCCCAGAGGCAGAGAATGGACAAAGAGGCTTTGGAGGCTTTGTCCATTCTTGTTCCTCACCCCAAAAGATCAAGGAAGGCCAGAGGTCAGTCCTGGAAATAAGGCAGCAGTCTTACCCACTGTGGAGTCACAGGCTTGGGCAGCCTGGGGCAGGGAATCCCATCAACAGATACTATAATTATTGCTAGAATTCCTCAAAAAGACTCTCACCACCTATGGAGACCACCTTGGGAGAAAGGCACTTTCAAGAAACCTGTCCTTTATCCCACTTCTGGGGGCACTGACACACACACAGTTTATGGATCATGAACTTGGTAGCTAACACTTCCCTTTTTGCTTTGGCCACTAGGAAGCTCAGAACGAACTTGTAACCTACATTTGTACCGCTTTCACTGTGGGCTTAAACTTAGCATTTTCCTCCATCTATTTCCTCTTTTCCATACCGTGTCAGTAATGAACTACCTTCTGGTATTAGGTAAGTTTCAAGGAGCCACCTCAAACCCTGTGTCCAGGAAGATAAAAACAAACTGAAACATATTTCCTTCTAGGCTCTCTGGACCTCTTGTTTTCCTATGGGGACTCTAGCCAGAGCGAACGAAGGCAGGCACTCACCCCGCGTGCATGAAGATGTACGTCAGGTAACGCCATGCCTGTGCGCGGAGCTGTGGGTGGTAAACCAGCGAGTTCTTCAGGTATCGCGGATGGGTTACCTGCAGCACGAATTGACCCAGTGACACTCCATTGTAGAGGAAAAAGGCAACCTGGATGAAAACAGAATGGCAGGGGCCTGTTACTAGACGCGAAACTGGCCAGGAGCCCCTCTGGTGCTAACGTTCGGAATCCCCTGCAGGAACTTGTCACTTTTCCTCCTCGGAGAATGAGGGACAGCCCCTATGGCCGGCACCCTGCCTAGCTCTCGGCCACCTCTCACCCCACTTCGGTTTGGTTATTTTGTGTTAAATGGTCACGTGGGCTCTGCCCACACCTCCTCGGTGCGAGGCGGGAAAGGCTCGGGGGCGGGGGGGTTTCAACTAATTGCAGCAAAAACTTACATACCCGTTTGGGGGAAGAGGCAATTCTACACAAGGTGATTTTTTTGAATTGCGGTAAAATACGCATAACATAAAATGTACCACCTTCATCAGTTTTCAGCATACAGCTCAGTGGCATCCAGTGTGTTCACAATGTGCAGCTGTCAGTGCCACCATCCACAGAAGTCTTGCAAAAGTGACACTCTGTCTCCATTAAGCACCAGCCCTGGCAACCACCATTCTACTTCGTCTCTATGAATTTGACTCCCCTGGGTGCCTCATCTAGGCGGACTCACACAGGTGGCTGGCTTATGTCACTTAGCATGATGTCCTCAAGATTCACTTGCGTTATACCATGTGTCCAAATTTCCTTTTTTAAAAAAATTTTTAATGTTTATTTTTGAGAGAGAGAGA